TTTTGACCCAAACCAGCTGCCTAAGTCAATGTCTGTTACAGAATTTTGATTTCATATTGTACCAGACTATTAAATTTACTTTGTCCTTACCAGGTTTCTGCACCGAGAGGATGCTCTGAGTGCAGTGCAGTTTAGCAGTGTATTTCCTAAGGTGAAGGGGTAGGTGACACCAGGCAGGGGAAGTGAATGAAGAGAGCAGAAAGAACAGAAAAGCAGAAATATCCTTCAGGAACTCGTCTCACAACAGTAGTGCCTCAGACGGTTCTGTAGATGCAGATGTGAAAACGTCTTGTGTGTGTGGCATGAGACACCAACTGTAGCAGCAACGTTCCTTTTCCCTTTTATTTTAACTGTTTTGACTTTTAATTGCTTCCCCCTCCCTGTAAATATTCTCCTGAAACTCCTTGCTGCCAGGCGCCTGGCTGTACCCGCCGGTGCTGACTGCAGGTTTGGAGCAGTGTGGAGGAAGGAAGCTCAGCACGCGTTTTCATTGTTCCTGTTTGTAGAACTCACCTGTTGGACAGAGCTGTGAGGTATTTGATGCCCTGTTAGATGTTAAGGACTATTTTTTCCTAACAGTTAGGGTGTCAGGCCGTGTACAGCGTTACCCAGCTGCAGCGTGCCCGAGGGTGGCCACCAAGAGGTGATCGGTGCTGCTCGCTCTGCTGCATGGAGCGAGTCCTGGGGTGGGGTTTGCTCCCAAGTAATGGCTTAAAATGCTGAATGGTGTCAAGCCAAGTGCTGTGGCAGAAAATCTTTATTCATGTGAAGAGATCAGATTGTTCTTAGGGGGCTCCTACACCAAATAGAAGAACATTGTTCCAATTTTTGAATGCTTCCTTGCGCTTTGTGTGAGCGATTGCTAAACTTCCTCCATAGTGGCAGGAAACGTAGCTTTCCTCACTTTGTTCTGTGTGATCTAATCCGCGTTCTTATACAGAACAAAACTGAGTTGGAAACCTGCACTTCTATACAGTATTACCGTGTGTGCTGCCCTCAAAAGCTATGGAGTTTTCCAGTTTTTAGTTTGTGTTCATCTCTCATGTCCCACAGCAGTACCCTGTAGAGGAGACCTTTAAAATGTCATCTGTTGAGAAAAAGATAAAGCTTATCACAAAGATAAGCTTTGAATGGAGTTCCTAGGCAGTGCAGAGGACGTGTTTTTACTGGGTTTTATTAGTTCTCAGAGGAAGGAGGCACTCCTCTGTGCAGCTGTCTGCTCTGAGATGTGACAGTGACACCTCTTTGGCCATCTGCTTCCCTCCCGTGGTGGATTCTTTGCACAGAAAACCATTGTTTTCTGTTTAAATCCCTCAATCTAAAGTTAGAATCGAAGGGGTTGTGGAATATGAATTTGGAATAGAAAATGTCAGGATAATGTAGCTAGCATATGAACTGCATGCAGTTCAACTGTTCTACTGCAGAAATATCAGCAGAATAGGTCCATAGTTCATCTGTGGTGCCAGTGAAAATGTCATTTATTAGTATTTGCAGATCAGTAACTTCAAGTAGGGCTTGTATAGCAGTCCTGTTTAACTTCACTTAACCCCTACCTCTCCCTTTGACTGAAGTTTAGGTAGAATGCACTTCTTGTAGGTGTAACGGCTGAACGCTGGTGTAAATCTGCTACGACTAAGTTGCACTACATAGCCACAGTGGTAGAAGCAAGTTTGACGTTTGTAGAGCTATTTTGGGTAAGTTCTTGATAACTTTTTGGGTTGAGGAAAAGAATCACAGGATGGCTGAGGTCTGGAAGGGACCTCCGAAGATCATCTAGGCCAACCCTCTGCTGGGCAGGATCACCTAGAGCATGTTGCACAGGATGGCAGCCAAGTGGGTTTTGAAGATCTCCAGAGAAGGAGACTCCACAGCCTCTCTGGGCACCCTGTCCTGGTGCTCTGTCACCTCCCATATTCAGCTGGAACCTCCTGGGCTTCAGTTTGTGCCTGACACTAAAGGCTCTAAATTAAACAGTCAGTTTTTATTGTATAAAGAAATCCTGCAATGCTTTCAGGTATTGTTTCCTAAAAGTAGGAGGAGCAGCTTCATCCCTTCACCTCCTTAAGTAGTAGCAGGTGGTGGTGGTGCTGTGTCTAATTGATTGCAAGGAGTTATTTGGCATTAAGTGTAGGAAAGATTTGGTACCAGTCTTTGAGAGCGTTTTCCCTGGGTAGTTCACAACTGGGAGCTCATGACTTTTATACAGACAGCTTTAAAGCTCTTCTGGGGTTTATTGTTCTGCTTGTCCAGCACATGCCTTCATCACAGTGGTATGTTGGCAGCAGAGAGGTTAACACCTTTGTGTTGTAAAATTGCACACGGTGCTCACGGAAACACCGGTGAGGTTCCGGGCACTGTAGCTTAGGGGATGCTGTGGAGGGAGGGAGCAGGAGGGTGGGGTTCCTCTTGGGACTTAGTTGTTTCCCCAAGGGGTTTGGTTCCTACCAGAAGACCTTGCATGTGTGAACACCAGTTGGTGACCAGCTAGATCAGAATCTTTTCCTGTTACACCGGGCTGTTGCAGAACCAGATATCAGAGAAATATTTTGCCTCTACAGAAAAATACTTCACTTGTTCTGGTTAGAACAACAGCAGTGTAATAACAAATGATGTGAGCCTGCTGACTTGGAAAGGCAGAAGCTGAGGTGGCATTTCCCAGGCTTTATGTTTGGACAGGCCAATTCTTCATGTTCTTATACAGAAGCTTACTCAAAAGCTGTGTGAGCTGAGGTGGTAGAGAAGAAGTAAAATACGTAAATACATGGCGTTGTTGTTGATGTTGTTTTAGGCAAATTTTCCTGTTTCTTGCACCGGCACCATCTCTTAAACAGATTTTGTTAACAATGTAACAAGAGACTGAAAGTCAAAAACCCCTCAGTGATGCAAACTACTTCTGTTTAGTTTTAGTTTTAGTTTAGTTTTATTTTTTCCCGAAGCATGAAGTGCCAGGATTATAGAGTTGTCCAGTTGTGTTTAACTTGTGAAAACTCCCCTGTTGAGGAGGCCTGCAGAGTAGCTTGGTCTTAAGAGAAAGAAGTTTAAAAGATATTTCCAAACAATTGTAGTCCAATATCAAATATCGGTCTGTGAAAGAATAAATGTATATATATATATATTTTTAATCCTGGCTTCATGATGCAACTGCCGAATCCAAAGTGCCTAGATTGATGCCAGTCATATTTTGTTATTTTGGCTTAACTGCAAGCAGTTCTTGGATTTCTTTAAGTAAAATTAAAATAATAGCTAGAGTAACTGTTTTAGAGAAGAAAAATTACTGCAGATGATCATTCGACTTCCCGGGGACCAAGACCAGCAATTCATTTTTCCCCAAGATACGTTAAGACAAAAGTTGTGTGTGCATGCACGCACGCGTTTGTCTTCTCCAGTGACTTCTTTCAGCACATTCTTGCAGCCCCTCTTACAGCTTCTCTCTTTATTGGCAAGCATCAACTTTTAGTTATGATTTAAAAGACAAACAAACAATTGTTTCACGGTAGGGTGCCAAGGAAGTATTTGCCTTTAAGCAGATGTGTAAGTATAAGGCTGGAGTCTCACGTTGCTGGGCCTTGATGCAGTGCCCTTCTAGAGCATGGAGCTATTGTTAAAAGCCCGATGTGCTCTGTGAGCAGCTTTCTGTATCCCTGCTGCTCCCACTCGCACTGAGCTGCCTCTAACAGCTGTAGTTTTGCTGTAGCTCCAGTGTGGTGATGGGCGCTGGTGGGAATGTTTGTTACCATTTACCAAATTTCATGCAAGAATTTTGCTTAAACTCTTTATTTGAATAATAAGGGCAGTCATATTTGATATTCTGATGGCTTTTGTTGTGAACTGAATGCTGAACGTGCTTACAGAGAAAGGACTGCAGGATTGGTTTTTAATAAAAGGAAAAATTGCAGAGTTTTTCCTTTGAATTCACTTTTTTCTAGCTTGTCTTCGTTCTTCAAAAGATCTGAAGCCTCTTAATGTGTCATGTGTTACTTTTTCCTACTTTAATGCATTGCTTTTTTTTTTTTTCTCTCCTTGATTTTGTAGCCTGTTTTTTTGTTTGTTTGGTTTCTTTTGTTTTGTTTTTTGTTGCTGTTGTTTTCATCTTTTTGTCTGTACGGACTGCTATTCAATTAACTTAACGCTTTGGTGGTAAATAGTGCATTGATGAAAGTACTGGTAAGCAGTCTAAAGGCTTTGGGGGGGGTACATATAGGGAATGAAGTTTGGGGAACACTAGGATCTAGTTGATCTGATCCTCCAAGTGTGAAGGGTAGCACCAGCTTCCTCAGAAATCTGTTTTCTTCTGGATTTGGCCCTTCATTTGGCATGTTGTATCTTTGATGTTCAATCCTTAAAGCATTTAAGATAACAGACAAAAAACCTCATGGCAACAACTTCACACAGGATTTGCAAGTCAAGAATCAGTTGAATGAATCAATAATGCACTAGCATGAAAAATACACCCCTGATATTTTCACTGGTAATAATTCTCAGTACCAGTATCAGTGGTATAAGCAGAGCTGTGTAGCTATTGCTGCTAACTAAAAGCTATCTGCTTAAAATCATCTCAGTGTTACAAAATGTGATAACCAGATATTTTAGTGGGTCTTACAGTTTTTTCCAAAGACTTTTTGGGCAAAAACGATAGGGCTGTTTTTCTGTATTTTTGTTTGATGCTGTGTTTTAGGGGCAGTCACAATTGACACAGCAGACTTTCAGTGATAGAAGGTACTGGAGTGTTCTCCCTTTTACAGCTGGTGACAGGACAGAGTGGCTGCCTTGGTAAGGTCAATAGAGGAGGTTGTGGCAAATCTGGGAGCAGAAGTTGATGTACTTGATTTCAAGTTGAGTGAATCAAGCCTTTAAAAAGCCTTTTTTTTTTTTTTTTTTTTCCTCCCCAGTGTTTTAGATGAGCTAGATTGGGGAATCAGACCCTTGCGGTGTTCAGATGCAATTTACTTTGATGTGCTTAAATACTAATGAAATCAATATTCTTTCCTATCTTTCTTTAGCGCTGTGTGGTGCTGCGGTTTTTGAAGTCTCCCCCAAACCAGAATAAGGTAAGATTCAACACGTCCTGGTGATAAAAGCCCCCAGGTAAGCTAAAAAAAAAATGGGTCTGAGGAGAGAGAGGAAACCTGCAAAAGAACTGCGACCGACAGGAGTAAGAAAAAGGGGATGTTTTGAAATGTGCTTGCGTTTCAGGAGTTTTGGCAACAGAACAGAAATGTGAGATCTTCTTACGTAACTAAGGTTATGTGACTGCTGATACCGTGACCTCTGGGGGGGTCAAATTTTAAGACAGCAGTGACTGTGTAGAAGGGATGGCTTTTTGTAAGGATGTCTGTGGCAATGGGGGCAGTGTTAATGTTGCTTATCGACCTGTGGGAGAGCGGTGGTGCTGCAGGAAATACTGCAAGAACGGCCATTGTCGCTGAGCGACTTCACAGCCCTGGCTGCTGCAGAAAGCAGAGCGGGACACGGCCTCTGTTTGCTTGGGCTGTGGCACAAGATTTTTCTGCTTGAGAAAGGAACTGAAGGGGGTTACCTTAGATTTACTTTAAAAGGCATAAGAAACTATCAAGAATCAAAGGTGATGGGTAAAAATGAAGCGTCAGCACAGTGCTCCCAGGGAAAAAATAAAAGAGCAAAAGAGGCAGGAGGTTCAAATTCTGCCATTTCTCTAACCTGGTGAGTAGTCTTTTTGGCACGTTACTTGAGAGCTGCGGGGAATGGCTTAAATACAAAGCGGTCTATGGCTCTTTATTTAAAGAACAAAACATGTGAGGTACCAGCATTTATTTATTTATTTAGTCTGAAGATATTCTTGCGTACTAATTGTTTTTTAAAAACTGACATGTCAGGAAGAAATGGCAGTGGAAGCTAGGAAGTAACTTCACCTTTACGTATCTCAGAGTTGAAGTTGAGACACTTCTGTGAACTTCTTTGGTGTGCACGTAGGTTTCTGGATTGGAATAGTGAAACACAAGGGAAAATGGCCTGGGCATGCTGTGCTTTTACTTCTTAAACAGTGCTCAGATTCTTGATTTTTTTTTTTTTCTCCTGCATAATCAGATGAATAAAATTGTTCAGAATGCCACCAAGCATAGAGATACATCGCAGTAGGTGTTCTTGCGGGTTGTATCTGATCTAGCAACGAGTGTGGCCCTGCAGAAGCAGAGTTTTGGGACAAACTTGGACAGAGCAATGTGACAGCAATAGAGAAGAAATGTTTTTTAGGTTTTATATTCCTGTCTGGTGCAAGATCAGTTAGGATCCAGGGTGATACATTTCTGCATGTGATGTTGTAGCTCATCCAGCGTAAACAATTCTGAAAGAACCAGCTGAAGCAAAATACTTTCTAGTAAGAGGCATACTGAAATTCAGATGTGCATCTCAGTCTGTGCTGTTTAACTCCTTTGGAAAAGGTTTTACAAAAAAAAAAAAGTCCAAATACTGTTTTGCATTTATACTGATTGGGACTACATAACTCAGCAGTTACACAAGGCGATAGTATCACAAATGATAATTTTATTGTTACAATTAAATGTTTGAATAAAAAGTACTGATAGTGAATAATATAACTGGGGATTACATTTCTTGAGTAGAATGCCAAGTATCAGGACTTGTGGAATGACTTCAGTGGCATGTTGCTAATTTTAGTGTACACAGGTGTTTTGCACGAGTGGATGTTTGCCTTTCTGTTATGTGGAACCTCTGAGAGTTGGCATTTTTGGCTAGATGAACTGGCCAGAGTGGTGGCTCCTTCAAAGTTTTTCATCTTTGTGTTTTTTAATGTTAAAAGGTGGTGCTCCAGTAGTTTGTTAGTTGCTTTTTTATTTCTTGTGTGCAGTGTTCACAATACACTTGCTGTTAAAGGGGTGCGGGCAGGTGTCAAAGCAGGGTGAGGGCAGAGGAACAGGGACGTACCCAGCGCTGCTTCCTGCCTCGTGTAGGGAGCAGCAAAAGAGCTTGGGCTGCTGGCAGCCACCTCTCGTGGATGTAGGTGTGCTCAGCACTCGTGATGGGTGCTGGCCTTCCTGCAGAACGCAGGCTGAGCAATGCTGCTTTAAAAATAGGGTTTTTCATACCCATGTGGGTGGTCTGCTCACTTATCTTGTTGCCTATTCATTATTTTCTCTTAGAGGCACTTCTTTAGACCAGATGACTGCAGCTGAGAAAGTTACTCAGGCACCATCGGTGTGTGTTTTGTTGTAAAACGCAAGCAGTGGAAGATTGCCTGTTCTGAGGAGGCTCCAAGCTTATTTTGGCTCTCTTAAAAGGATTCAGGGAGAGCTGTTCTGAGAAATAGCTCCACATACAGTATGCCAGGCATGTTAAAGAATTAGTGCTGTCCTGGCCTTTACAGAATGATAGAAACGCAAGTGCTCAGAGAAAATTGGACTTCTACTTGCTGCAAAGGATTTTTTATTTGTATTTTTTTTGTAGCACGCTCCATAATAAAGTAGCAGGGTGTAGTACTGAGTGCTACTGAAGTGAGAGGCTGGAGTACCGCAGCAACATCCAGTAGCAGCCTCTCGGTGTATTGCAGTGCTGTGAATTGCTGTTTCAGTCTGGAAAATTAATTCTGCTAAGGGAAGAGTATTAAACTTGGTGTGCAGTCTCAGCAGGCCTGAATTATGGTAACAAAATAATCCGAGTTATGCAATTGGTGTAAATTTGTTAGGTAACCCTTCCTGGTGGAAAAAAATCTACCTATTGTAATGGCATTATAGAATAAAGGTACTAAAATTGCCTGGTTAGTGATGGTCTGCTTTATCCTCCTTACACATTTAATTCCTGCTGGATGTTGTCTTTCCCTGGTTCTCCCTCCAGTCTTTGTCATTACCTGAGTGAAGTCCTCCTAGCATTTTATTTTCTCTTCCTCTGCTCTGTAGTGCAGAACTTATTTTTTTCTCCTGTTGATGTTTTTTTTTTTCCTCTGTGATTTTCTAACTGGGACATCAGTGTTGCACTTCCTCTTCTACTGTAACTTAATCCCAGGAGCATATCTGTGTGGTTCAGTGCTCTGTAGTGTAGGCAAAGGAGTGTTTCCAGAAGAAGATCCGGGAAGGGAGCTTGGAGGTTGTAGTACCAATAGAACAGTGTGCAGAGAACCAGAGTATGCTCAGTTACTGGGGATGTGCTCATACTGTAAGGCTTCTCGTGCATGGGCCCTCTGCTGCCTCTCTGAGGTGCAGAAGCGTGCCCAAGTGAGACCACGCCGAGGTGGCCATCCTGCTGCTAGCACTCAGACAGCTTTGTTCCTGTCTAGCTTGGTGTTTTTATCTTGTGGAAGAACTTTGGTGTTTCCTTATAGAAACACAGCGTAAAATTAATGATGGTGCTATACTAAGAGTTTTCATTGTCTAGGGCAGCATTTGGGACAGGTAACAAGTTTTTTTTGTGCAAAGGTTTGGGATTTGGCTCAGTCTTTTGGGCCATTCTCTTCTGAAACTCCAGGTAAAGCATTTTGTAGCACTCAGAGGCTCTCCTGAACTCGACCTCTTGGTGAGGAGGCTTGCTGCATCTCTGCTTTTACCTAGAGATCTTTGAGCTGTTGACTACTAATAATAGATCTTGAGTGATCTCTCCAACTTCCACTTTCTTAATTTTCTCTGTCCTTTTTTCCTCTGAAACTCAAGTTGAATAATCATCTTTATTTTTGTGGCCATCCCAGCCTCTTAAAGAGCAGCAGGAAAACAAATGTAGCTCAAGTTGTGTGTGTCCGTTTAATTTCAATATGTACTGACTTAATTGGTTTGCTAAGTCTATGAGTAGTACATGTATGTATCCTTGAGTAGTGTTTATCATTATTTCATAATTTAATTACTATGTTTCTTTCTTCCAGACTTCAGAGGAAATACTACACCATCTGCAAAACATCGTAGACTTTGGAAAACATGTCATGAAGCAGTTCTTTGGGGAGAATTATGTTCACCATGGGGTAAATGTTTTATTCTTAAAATAAATGGCTTATGCATGGTAAACTATACAGTCTTTTCAGGAACACTGAATGCCACTGAAAGCAATTAATAGGGTTTAGAGATATTCTTGAGCAAGCTACACACACAAGAAGCATTTGGTTAAGAACAAAGATCCTGCTTTGTGCTGCTGAGGTGATTGGATTGTACTCTGTGGCTTGAACTGTTTCAAGCTACTGCTGAAAAAAGTGGTCATTCCTTGGCCCTGTATAAGGTGAGAGGTGAGAAAGATAGATTTTGAGACTATCTTTGCAAAACAAGGGGAGGAATTGGGTTCACACAAACTGTCTAGGTTTGTGTGCACTCAGAGGTAACTTTCCTTGCCATGCACTTCAAGGTGGCGAGATCTCGTTAACTGACCATCAGGTACCCGAGTGGGGAAGTTGGGGTTGGAACCTGATGGGCACAACTCTGCCTTGGAGGGGTGGGGAGTGAGACACCGGCCAGAAGTGGGACTGTTTCATTTGGGAAATGATGCAAGTTTCTTCATGAACGTTAAACTCATCCTGAAAAATGACATTTTTTCATGCATTTGTTAAAATTCCATTTTGTTTTCAAAGTGTTATGTGAACTCAGGTGCAGGTCTTCATATAGAAGCTGCTGATTGTATAGCTTAGTATACTGCTGTTAATGTCCGTTGAGCTTTGGTATTCCATTTAAGACTCCCAAACTCTGGGTGTTAATCTTTGTGTTGAAATACGTATATTTACTTTTTTTCTTTTTTTTTTTTTAATAGGAAATTATTCAACTGCCTTTAGACTTCGTGAGACAGCTCTGTTTAAAGATTCAGCCAGAGAGGCCAGGTAAGTGCCCCATTAAAAGGGGGTCATTGCTCAAGCTATAAAAACATTGTGCTTTAAAATAAAGTTAAAAAAAGTACCATAACCCAGAACATGAGGGAACTTCTTTCAGTACTAAAACAATGAAAAGCTGAAAATTTGTTGTGGAAAAATGGGTGTGTTCCAGGCTGTAAAACTGCATCTGCTAGTGGTTTCATCAAGTTGGAGAAAGGGATCCACTTTAAGCCTGTGTTTGATAATTCCTGAACAAGCTTTTTACCTTGCTCTTGAAGTCCTTTAGAAAGATCAAGGAGGGTGGTGGAAGATACTCATTAAAATACTGTTTTCTCAAGCCTTCTTTAGAAGGCTCAGAAACGTCTGTTTCAGGAGATTTCATAGAAGAAAGATGTGATATAAAATCCTTTGGTAAGTGTAGCCAGTTCCTTGAAGCCTTTGATCCTTTGGAAAAAGTGACTTAATTTACCTATGAATAAGGCAGGACACTCTGTATTGACTTGTTGTCACCTGAGAAAGTTTCACAGTGCCAGAAACCAGCAAGGTAAGTAAATACTGTGCCTAATAAAAGTTGCTAAAGGTTTTTTTTTTTTTTTTTTTTTTTTTTTCCCCTCAAGACTGTTTATCTGGACTATATTCAGAAATACTATTTTTGGGTGGTTTTAAAAATTCTTGCAATAAACTATCATAGAATCAGGAATCCTCCTTTAAGGAGGAGGAACCTAACTTTTGTTTCATTTATGTTGCTTTTGTCCTATTTATTATTTTGTTGTAAACACTGGAATGTTAGGGAGAGGTGGTTCTTCAGTTAATTGCTTCCTATCAATATTTTTTAGTACGTTGTATCTTGATTTCAAGCCTGGGACAAATGTTTGAAACCTTGCAGAAGCACTACGTGCAAACTGAGGAATTGAGCTAAGCCACTTGTGGATTCTGTTTAGATTTACACTTTCTCCTCAACTTCTGCCTGTCGCTATTGATATGCCTGTCCATTTCCACAGGCCCAGGGATGGCAGCAATTTTAGTAAGCAAACATGAGATCGTGCTCTTTGAATACAGTTATAAATCTCTACCTTGGCCACTCCATTGCTGTTTCAGGCCTCTCATTGCTAAGTTTCTTAGGATGCGCTGGAAACAGGCCATTAAAAGCAGCTCTTGAAGCACTCTTTATGACACTTTTGAGGAAGGAGAAAATGGGTGTTGCTAATGGGAAGGCCAGATTTATGCAAGTGCGTAATTGGCTAAATCCTGCTAAACTGTGTCCTGCCTTTGTGTTGTTTTTGTTTTTTTGTGTGTGTGTGTGTGTTTTGTTTCATTTCTTTCTTCCCCCAACTGCTGAACAACACAACTACAGTGTAAAATAAACATCCACACACTTAATTTTCTCGGTGGTGTTTTTTTTTCTCTCTAGAGTCTCGCTGTGATAAGGATATGGACACACTTAGTGGTTATGCAATGTGCCTTCCTAATCTTACCAGGCTGCAGACCTATCGTTTTGTGGAACATCGGCCAATCCTCTGCATAGAGATTAAGGTATTGAATAGGAGAAAATCCTTCTTTTTGTTGTTGTTGTTATTGTGGTTTTGTTCTTTTACAGTTTTTAAGCATGTACTGACCAGAGTAGATTTGAAGAAATTCAGCAGTAGGATATGGCATAGCTCACTGCTTTTGCTGTGACCCATAGGATAAAATACCATCCCCACTCCCTCACCAAATTTCTGATCTTTTGAAACTTGAATTCCCAGATATTAGTAAGTTTCTTCTGTAGGCCACAGCAATTTTGTGTGTCCTTATTTCTTCACTGAGTACTCTAAAATAATTGGGAATAATGTACGGTGACGTATATAAAACCTTTAAGTATTAGGTGTTGATTTATATTTTTTTTTTCTGTGTAAATACTTGAAAGATTTGCATATTGTAGGCCCTTTGTAGAAAGAAATGCATTTCTATTTGTAATCATTTCTGTTTGTTTGTTTTAGCCCAAGTGTGGCTTCATTCCTTTTTCCAGCCATGTTTCACAGGAGATAAAACACAAGGTGTGTCGTTACTGTATGCATCAGCATCTAAAGGTAATTTTTTTGGTCTTCGTCCTGCATTCTTTTGACAGTACTGTGTTTTATTCACAGTTATAAGCTTATTTCATGTTGAAACTTGCGTGTTGTTGCTTAAACCTCTGATATGACTAACAATGGTAGGTGGATATGGATCTGAGTTGCTGGGTGTGAATCTGTTTAGTGAGAGGTGGAAAAAGTTCTGTGGGAAGTTGGAAGCAAACAAATACAATATTAGTCCTTAGGGACTATTGAAGCTGTTGATAAGGTAAACTCTTAAATCAAATTTCCTCTTAAATACAGCTCAGCGAATGCATGGTGACATCCCATACTGTAAAGCAGCAGGTAACTGTGGTGGTTTTAATCCGGTGGGCGGCTGAGCTCCACAACTGCTCTCTCACTCCCCCTCCTCAAAGAGGAATGGGGAGAAAATATGATGAAAAGGGCTCAAGGGTTGAGATAAGGACAGGGAGATCACGCAGTAATTATTGTGACAGGCAAAACAGACTCAGCATAGGGAGATAATAAGATCTATTGCCTATTACTAACAACCTAGAGAAGCAAGAAACAAAGGAAAGAAACCAAAAGCACCTTCCCCCCATCCACCCTCTTCCACCTCCTTCCACCGAGTGGCGCAGGGGAACAGGGGAATGGGGATTATGGTCAGCCTCCAGTGCTTCTTCGCTGCTCCTTCTCGGTCACTCTCGTCCCCTGTGCTGTGGGGTCCCTCCCATGGGATGCAGTCCTTGATGAACTGATCTGGCGTGGGCTTCCCACAGGCAGCAGCTCTTCCAGAACTGCTCCAGTTGTGGGTCCGTACCACGGGGTCCATCTCTCAGAAGCAAACTGCTCCAACCTGGGTCCCCCACGGGCAGCAGCTCCTGCCAGGTCACCTGCTCCTGCGTGGTCTCCTCTCCACGGGCTACAGGTCCGGCCCAGAAACTGCTCCGGCAGGGGTCTTCCACAGGCGGCAGCCTCCATCGGTGCAGGGCCACCTGCTCCACCGTGGTCTCCTCCACAGGCTACAGCGTGAAACCCTGCTCCACCATGGTACTCCATGGGCTGCAGGCGGACAGCCTGCTCCGCCATGGTCCTCACCACAGGCCACAGGGGACTTCTGCTCCGGCGCCTGGAGCACCTCTCCCTCTCCTTCACTGACCTTGGCACCTGCAAGGCCGTTCCTCACTCCTCCCACTCTCCCAGCTGTTGTCTGGCACAGTGTTTTTGGTTTTGTTTTTTTTTTTTCCCCTGACTTAAATCTGCTCTCACAGAGGTGCAAAACAACATGGCTTATTGGCTTGGCTCTGGTCAGCGGTGGGGCACTTACCAAACATGGGGCAGCTTCTAGATCCTTCTCACAGAAGCCACCCCTATAGCCCCCTGCTACCAAAACCATGCCATGTAAACCCACTACAGTAACATGTGGGATGTATATGAGCAATGTCCATTATGTATCTGAAATTATATAACTGGCTTACTGGAATTTAATGTGACCTTTCATCCTACTTTCCATTTGTGAATACAGTTTGAGTGTTTTGAGGCAAATATGACATGGAAGACACTTAGTAGTCATGAGCTGGAAGTCCAAGGAGTTTAAGTGTCGTGGGACTTCTGAAGAGAGGATATTAGTGCCACACACCTGCCTTAAAATAACTGAGAACAGCTATTACAGAAAGTGATTAACAAGAGTAGTTCTGCTTTTCAACAGGTAGCAAACGGAAAATGGAAGCGACCAAGTAAATATTGCCCATTGGATCTCTTCTCAGGGTAAGGAGTTGTGTGACTTGATTGTGCTTTTGCGCCAAAAAAAATCCATTGTAGATTTCTTTCTCAGATTACTTTGAGTTTCCCAGAAGCATTAAAAATGATTAATGCCTGCTTGTCTGACTTTTACAGTGAATGTTTCTGGTGCTATATGCCTCTTAACACCTATTTCAGGAATCAGAGTTCCTTAATTAATGCAACTGTACCTTCTGCTACATAACATGAAATCTCAGAAGTGTTTTAATTTACCCAGATTTAATATTCTAATTTCCAGTAGTTAGTCTTTGCAGTGACTTTAGCATGAGTAACAATGCTTAATGGGTGTGTTCACTTCAGGTGCCCAGTTTTGACTCAACAGAGTCCTCCAGGCATAGGTGTAAATACCTAATGGTGGTGATAAAACATTCTTGGATTTCTTGGATGTTTATATGCTTTTTTTTTCCCCCTAGAAATAAACAAAGAATGCACTTTGCTTTGAAGAGCTTATTACAGGAGGCACAGAACAACTTGAAAATATTTAAGGTAAGCAATCAAATTCGTCTCTGTCTTGCTTTTTTTTTTTTCTTTCCTTGGTTAAACAATTTCAGCACCTGAACAGTCAAGATACTGCTTAATTGGCACCATCACTAATGGACCATGAAGTAGAAGAGAATGGAAAAATGGAAAAATCTGTTGTTAGATTTCAAGTTAGGACAGGTAAATAAGAGTTTCCCAGAACTAATTAGTTGCAGTGAATCACAAAGGAACAACTAATAGAAAAAGACTTTCAAAGGTGACCGTTTTAAAACTTGGTATGTCTCAGGATGAAGAAGGTAGAGAACTTCGCATGTTGCTACAAGTATTTTTGGAAATTACAGTTACAACATTCATGCAAGTCAAACGCACAGCATGCCTCACTGAAGAAGTAAAAAGTCAACTTTTTATGTGGAAGTAATGTAGGGAAAATATAAAGCAGTAAGTGATGACTTATGTGGATCTTAGATTAATTCTAAGAAATAAAATTATTTTCAACTTATTCAAGTGTTAATCCAACTACTTGAATTACTTAAAATTGTATGAATTGTCCTGTTTATTTATTAGAATGCAGGTAAATATCACGATTTTTCTGTCTCTTTCTATTATAGCTTTCCTTTTCCTATTTGGCTTTTAAAAAAAGGTTGTTTAACATTGCACTTTTTCACTATTGACATTATTCAAAAAGAAGAAATAGGAAAACTAGCTAAGTATCATTTCACTTCTATTGTTCTTATTACTTACAGTTTATTAAGTTGAGTAAGTAGCATGTGACTTAAATGGTTTGTTTTATTTCTGGTCCTAATTCAAAGGTTGTTACCTGGGGTATCTGAGTAAGAGATTGGGAATGGGTGTATTTGTATGTATACTGTTATACTAACGCTTTCATGTGTCATTTAAAAACATTAAATGTAATACTTTGATTAACTAAGTATGAGTAACTGTATTTCATGAAATGTCTCAATCTCCCTTTTTCATTTGTAGAACGGGGAACTAATTTATGGCTGTAAAGATGATCAGGAATGTGTATCTGACTGGAATGAACTTGCTCGTCACTTAAAACCTTTCTTTTTCCCTTCAAATGGATTGGTCAGTGGACCACACTGTACAAGGACAATTGTTAAAGAACTAATCCATGTTATAACTATGACGCTACTAAGTAGTACTGATGCCTGCAGGGCAGGTGATATGAAGACAGTTCCCATTTCACAAGGAAGAAGCTACTGTGAAGCAAGTGCTTTTAATAAGGAGCTAGTAAGAAATGGTAAGAAATAATTACTTGAAGAATGTCAATAACTAAATGTTACCACATAATGATTTGGATGTTTGCCTCTCAGTTGGTCTTTAATAGTGGTGTGAGAACTGAAATAGTGGGAATTTAGTGATTTCTTAAAAAAAAAAAAAAAAAAGAAAAAAAAAAAGTTCTGAGCTGCATAGCTGCTAAATAATTGTTTTTAGTGTGACCTTGCAGTGAGAACTTCTAGCATTGTACCTGCTGACTGGGGTAAAAATGAATTCAGAAGGTAGCAGAGGATAAATTAAAGAAAATACCCATTTGAGCTGGTAACAGTAATAGGTTATTTTAAATGACTAGGGAATTTTTATGTTGTATGTGATGAAATCTGGCTGCTCTTGTTGGTCTGTTACATAGCACCTGTTTCTTGCCTTTCCTTGCTCCTTCTGTCAGACTAGGCAGCTAGGGTGTAGCTCACTTTCTTTTCTTCTACTACACCACTCCTGGTAAAGAGAAGGTATGAATACTGGGGGAAAAAATGGGAAATGAGAGCTGGAAGGCTGTAAATCATGTTAATTCCCCGTAAAGTTTGAATTGTTCAAGAAGCTGCTAGTTAGTCCAATTATACGAATAGCGTGCTTCTTGATCTGCTTTAAGGAAGATCTGTTTTACTGTTGGTTGCTTTTTACTGTATTGTGTGGAGAAAGAGCTGTCTGTCTTACACAAATACCAAATATGATTCAATTTACACTATCTGAGAGAGAGACTGATTTGCCAAATTACTCTCTACCAGCAGTTTGTACTGTTGAAACCAAATTTGTGGTGGCTTCAAACTTGCAAAAAAATTCTTGTAGATGTGAACAAGTAGATTGCAATGGAAGTGTTTGTTTTCATCTGAATAATTTGTAGAGTTGTATACCAAGTATGGTATTTTACAGCCAAATATGTGCTATTCAAATGTGCAATTAAGTAGAAGCACCTGTTAGTGTTTGGAAATTGAAGTGTTTTGGCTTTTTTTCTTTGACTGGTCTGAAGCACATTTGGATTTGCTTTGTGAACAAGTACCTGTGATAGCAAAATGAAGCAAAACAAAGACATCATACTTGCCTTTTTTTGAAAATATATTTTCTTCTAGGTAAACATAAATTGGAAAGCTCTGGCTTACCAAAGGGTTGTCTCCTTTATAAAACCCTTCAGGCTCAGATGCTTGACATGCTGGATATTGAAGGACTCTATCCTTTGTACACTAGAGTTGAACAGTACTTAGAGGAGTTTCCTGAAGAGAGGTAAGATTTGATGTCTTTTCAGTTCTGATTAAATAGCTTTGCAGGCAAGACTGAGTCTATGCACATGCAACTATTTGTTATCTTTTGGTACGCTGTGTGTCACCATCATTAATGGTATTGCATGTTCTGAATCTCTAACTTGAAATGCCAGATAACGTGGAAGATGATAATGGCATTAAATGCAGTAATAATGGCATTCGTACAGTCATTCTCAAGTCGTATTCGTCTACCTACTACCTGCCCTTTAAAACCCTTACTTTGATATTCAGCAAGAATCCAAACTGAACTTGCAGGATGTAACAGAACAATTGAAGGGATAATGGACTAATTAATATCTGCTCTTGTTCAGCCTGACCTTGTTAAGAGTAAGAGTAGCTTAAAATGCCAGATCACAAGAGATCAAATCATACTTGAGGCACATGAATCTTTATCTTGCTATATATTGTGCCTGGTGAAAAAATATTGAATATTTCAAGCTGCTACATTTGTTCTAAAATATGGCTTATTAGTTGAAATAATCACTATAAAAAGCCGTAACTTTGACACTTTTTTGCATTCTTGAGGGGTAACTTGCCTGTAATTCTGCCACAGATCACAAGAGGGCACCCTGGCTTCACTTACAAGGTGGTGCAGCTTTGGGTTCCTTTGTTGCAATTTGAAGGGTTATATTCTGGCAGGCAATGCAGTGGCCTTAAGTTCTGCTTAAACCATTTGCAGTGGGGCTTACCTGGATATTTGTACGTGAAGCAAGTCACTTGAAAATGTATTCTTTTATCTATGTGGTGTTTGTATGCTCTAAAACTCCATTTTTATGGGTTCATATTTTCAGGAGTCCAGGTATTTAACATAGGAAGGAAGGAGACCAAGTAAGCCATTCCATTGCTAGCACATCAAGTACCTGCACGCATTATGGAGGGGTGGGGTGGGGAGCAGGGCCTCGTAAGAAAGTTCATGCCCCACTATTTTCCCAGAAAGCTATGCTTTCTGGGAACTTCCACAGTTACAAACTTTGAAACTTTCCGGTATTCACTAAAAAAATGCTGTTTTTGTGATACAGAGGTGAGGGTGAATTAAGAGTGATTAATCTTAAAAACAAATTAACAAACAAACCAAAACAAACACCCAAACCTAAACAGTAGCAGATCTTAAGCAAAATGAGGCTAATAGGGACTGGTCAGGGTGTTAATTAACCTGTTGCCATCTTCAGTGGTGTTGGTGTTGGTATGTTCTAATCTGAATATCCGGGCTGCTTAAGAAAGATCTCACTGGCTATCAGTAAATCATCTTGGCTGTCTGTAAATCTTCTTTTAAAATTTATTTAGAAGTACATTACAGATAGATGGGCCTTACAATGAAGCATTTTATGAGAAGCTGCTAGATCTTTCAACTGAAGATGATGGGACAATAGCATTTGCATTAACAAAGGTACTTTTCCTGTATATATTGTTGAAACTTTTGTCTGACAGTTTTTAATAAACACTTGTCTAACTGAAATCGATGGATAGCCTGTTAGCATCACCACTGTCTCATTAGAATTTTGTACAGTAAAAGTGCTTAGTTTTGACAGGGTGCCAAGCTGTATGGTATGCAGCAGAAACAATTAAAACCAAACTATTTAGCACCTGTTCATGGAAAAAAAAAAAAAGCTGGCTATTTCCTGTCTAGGTTGAGGAGGCATTTACATGACCAGGTGCTTCTCTGACCTTCAGGAAAAGACATTTCTGTAGAAATAAACACGGTTCTTACACAGGATGCTGTAAAAGCACTTGTTCTTGCTGAACATCTGCTATAGAGATAATTTCCAGCTCTTTTAACTACCAACATAGTAATATACTAAGTATACCAGTGCCTTTTGAAAGAACATAAAGAACGGTATATGCTTTATATAAAGGTAAATACAAATAATAATGGAAAATTCTTGTCATTTCTATATTGTGTAGGTGCAACAGTACAGAATAGCAATGACTGCTAAAGACTGCTCCATCATGATTTCCCTTTCACCTTGTCTACAAGATGAATGGTAAGAGTTATCTGCTTTTGAATGACTAATATTCATTAGGAATCTGAAGATTCATTTACACAGTTCAGTAAATTCATGTAACTGTTGAAGCTTTTTTTTTTTTTCTTTTCCTGTGTATGTGTGTCCAAATATTTCGCTGTGGGCATATTGGTAAGGTAGGGTTCTGATTTAAGACAGGGTAGACATCTGGTTTTTTTGAAGTGTTTTAAGTTGATAAAAGGTCAAGCTTTTATATTTACTCCCATTGTGAAGTTTGAGTTGATTGTTCATGGTAGATATACATGGTATTTAGCTAGGTAAAATTTTTCTGTCTTGCTGTCCTCATCAGAGAGATTTTTTTCTAGATGAGTTGCTTTTAACTTTAGTTAGAAAACAGAAGTCTGTATTAAGCATATCAGTAGAAACAAGGCAATATCAGGAGGTGACAACTACTGTAAGGCAAGAGGCTTTGCCAAAGTGTTACCTGTTTTGACTTGTGCCAGCAATAAGTCTTGCTTTTATATGGGGGATTTTACTTTAGAGCATATGGTCTTCTGCGTTTGCCCTGCAGTTCTTGAGTAAAAGGTTCATGTGGGAGATGGCTCTTGCAAAATTTGATCTGTTACTAAATTCTCCATCCTTCAATATGCTTGGGACACGTGTTCTGATACTAAATTGTATTACCTTGAACCTAGGTGAGAGTTGCAGTAATTTCTTCTGCTAGTTAATAAGGCTCTTGATTTGTATTCAATCTCACCTAGAAATAGTGATATTTAGTGTATTCACTAAATACAGAGACAGACTAATGCTGAGTAGCATTTTGACTTAAACTCTGTGGAAGCTGAAAGGCAAATGACTGGAAGAAGATCCAGCAAATTTACTTAAAGACTGCGTAATCTGGAGCTGTAATTTCCTGAGTGCTACATTGAAACTTATTTTCTTAGGCTTTCGTGAAAGTTGTAAAATAAATACGAGAGTCACTTCTGTAAGGGGACCTGGGACGTGTGAATGAAAAATCCTAACCTCGGTGACTCAGATGTGCAATACGGTTTTGTTTTCCAGCTCTGAGCAAAGACCTGTGGTACTAGCATCCAAATCAAGATTCACTTTTTCTGTTTCTGTCCTGGACCTTGACCTTAAACCCTATGAAAGCATTCCTCATCAGTACAAACTCGATGGCAAGATAGTAAACTATTATTTGAAGAATGTACAGGCCAAAGATGACCCAGTTATGTCCAGTCTCTTCAAGGAGAACGAAGACTGCACATTAGTTCTCCACAAAGTGTAACTGTTTCCTTAAGGTTATTTTCATTTGAGCACACTGCAAAGTGAGAGATTAATGGAATACAATTATGGTGATTTTTTTTTTCTATTGTGTTCGGTGCATTTTTCAGCTGTGAATGTTTTTTGCTTTAAGAAATGGTTTCTAATTGGTAGGCCTTTTCAAAGACATGGAATAGCACTAAAACATGCATTTGCTATGTAACCTAAATGAATGTATTTAATGTGACAGAACAGATAATGTGCCATACCTTGAAGCTAGAGGACAGATCTAAATAATACTAAATGTCCACTTCCTTAGAATTGGAAGAGCACAAAATTACAGGTTTCCTGAGGTGTTGCACTAACATAGAAAACCTAATTACTAACAAGCGAATTGCCTTGGCGTTTGTGCTCATACCTGCTAGGAAGAAGAAATGCTCTGACAAAACCTAGTATTAAACTTTAGCATTAAGTCCACTGAAAATACAACTGAAGTGGCTATTCAAGTGTTACTGATCTATGGAACTACCATGTTATTGCAGAACACTTAAGTACTAATGCATGAGGTTAAGAACAACCAGACTGCCTCCAGAAGTTTTGTGATCACTTTGTATCTACCTAAAGCTTCTGAAACTAAGTGAAAAGGGTTAAAGGTAAGCAGTTTTGAATTTTATGTGACAGCTGAGCTTAACTTGTCTGACATATTGGTCTTTTATTTTCTATATGTTACATGCTGCTATTTAAGGTGAAACCACAGCTCACTCTTACCTAATAGAAATTGAGCGATAGGAATGATATATTCTGAATTTTCCAGATTACTTTAGGTCTTTTAGACCGTGTCAATTGCTTTTTGCATTTGTGTGGCATTATTTCACTGACATCCCACCTATTGCGTAGCATGGCCATCCACTTTCAGGCTTGTTCTTTTTAAGTGACAGAAAAAAATGTGACAGCATCAGAAGCTGGAGGGTCACTTTCTCATGATGAGTACTGGAACTAAGTTTTTATCACTACTTCAGCAACTTAACGATGACTTTACCTTGTAAACATCGATATGTACAGCTGAAAGCCTGTGAGATGTTGCAGTAAGCCATTGGCAAAGAAGATCCTGAGTTGGAAACTGAGGATACACTCAAAACTGTGGGTAGTGTGATAAAATCTATAGCCACCTTTCCCACATGCTTGGGAATTACACTCCCTAAAATGTGCAGAGAGATGCTATTCAAGCTACAGTGAACTGCTATGTTGTTATCTGTATACAGTTACTGTTAGCTGTATACAGTATTACTGGTAATATTTTTTCAAAATAATGTAGGTTAACATTTTTAAAAACGTATTTATATTAGGATCTCAATGTGATGTTTGAGTTACTCCATTTTACCTGAAACTTAAAAAGCAAAACTGTAAAATGCTGTAGATTGGCTCAAATCAAGGAAGAAATATGAAATGCAGAATAACACCAATCATATAGCAGTAGGGCTTTGTAGTGGGAAGTGAATTGTATTAGCAGGCTTATAGTCCGCTTCCAGGTGATAGTATGCCTTTCTGGAATAGGGTCATTACTTAAATGTGATACTACAACAGTGTAATAAGCTTGTAGTTAACAATGGTAATAACCCCTCCTTTTCAAAGAAAACCAGGGGAAAAGAGGTCTGTTTTTTAATATCAGAAACCCTCCAATTGTTAGAGAAGTTTGGGAAAGATTATCTGCAGCTGAAAAGGTTTTGTTTTTTTCAATGCTGTAACTTTAAACACATTTCGTATGCAAACAGAAGTGTGTTTACTGATAAACAGTTTCATTTTCATGCAAGAAAGAGATAAAGATGAAATAAAGTAAAGGTTGCACAAAACTAGCTAAACCAGTAATATGTCAGTGGGTAAAGTAGCAATGAATTTTGCCTTGTCTGCTGCATTCCAAACTTGAAATTAGTCTGCCTTATATCTAATGATATATTTTACAGAGCTGCTGTTCATCAAAACTTAATCTCTGGCATTGTTCCACTGTAGATTCTAACACAAACCTATCTGTTCTGTCAGTTTTTCCTAACCTTCCAGAACTGTAGGAGACTATTTCAATGATCACATAGTGGCTTATTAAAACTATGGTGTTATAAACATACTATGGCTTTGAAATTAGTAGGTTTAATTCTTGATTTCTACACCTATTTCATGACTGCTGCATACTTTGTCATAAGTAACATATAGGTCAGGCACTAGCACTGCTTTTGCATGATTATAGCAGCTATGGACTTGAAAAGGAAGTCTTTTAAAATTACTCAAGATTCCACATAGTTTTTATCTTTGATCCTTGATTCTAGGAACAACTGTTACACTCTGTAAGAAGTATGCGATTTCAGGTTGTATAGGTTTGGTTTGGACAATGCCATTTGGTTGTGATAGAGCAGGGCATTAACTCTTGAAAAACGCTGCCAGTTCACAAATCAGCTAATGGTACCTCTGATGGAAGTGAAGGAAGATTACAAGATGTCTGTTCTGTTTTGCTTCTTCAGGGACAAAGGTATGAAATGTGGTGCTTTCATAGTGTATTATCTACTAGAATTTTTCCCATAAGTAAAACAAACAAAAAATTAACTAATGTTCACAGCAAGCAGTACTGAACTCACCCACTTCTTGTTATGACAGTATAATGGTCCATTCTTGTTTAGTTTAATGCTGTTTCTACCCAAAACTTATGCTATGGAAAAAAGTTACTTCAGACAATTACATTTTTTTAGCATAATATTTCTTGAAAATCTTCAAATTATTTGCCTGCTTCCAGCCTAATTTAATTAGAAAGCTATTTAACTCTTTGTTCTAGGAGTCTCTTACTGTTCTCTAGTCATTTTAAAATCACTGTACTTTTACAGAGCTGTGAATGAAATTTCCACTTTTTATGGACTTGATTTTGACAGTGCATGATCTTTTAACACTTTCCAGCTATCTAGAAAATGTTAAAAAGATAAACCACTCTGGTACATTAATGATTCAGAAAGATAAATTTATAATGAAATCACTCTGTACATGTAACTATTTTATTTGGCATTTTTGTATTTAAATGGCTGTATTTATTTTCATGTCATGACAATTTATATATAACGTGCCATAATTGTACAGATAGCATGTTTTATGAGTATGGTTTCTAAATGGAAAATAACTTAATGTTTATATTCAATAAAATTATAGACTGCATAACACAATATCTTAATTAAAACTACTTTTGAAATTGCTACCTCTTGTAAGTAATGCTGGAATTGATTTTTCCAAGCCAGCCACTTTGATCAGATTCTCGATTGCTGTCTCAATTCCAAACAGCAGCAGCATGCTTCGGAAGCAGGTAGGTGCATTTTCAAAAGGTGCCATTTTCCGCTCCAAGACTACAAGAATAATGTAAAAGTGAACATGATTTTCAAACAGGTATGCTGTGACTGAAAGTAGCTGTTAGGCTTGCATTTTAGGGTAAGGCAGGTTATCTGCTGTCTAAAAGAAGACACTTTTTTTTGCAAGCCCCTTTAAAGTAAATATGCAGGAGGTGAGGCTCATCTGTTTGCTAGATTTGGATTTGTTGGCCTGGCTGGGCTCTGCAAGATATATTTTATCTAAAGGGATGCTGGGCAAATAAAAGGGATAGGCATTCTCCTTAAAAGCTCAGAAATTGCCTGTCTCTGCAGAGAATGATGTTACCTTGCTCTGGTACTTTAGTCAGAAGGTCCAGAACAGGTGTGGTTCTCCCTTCTTCATCTATATGTATCTTCCAGACAATCATTAATTCAAACCTGTATCATATCCAGAGAAAAGTTAGTTGTTAACTAGGCAACTGTCTTAGTTTCTTAAAATCAGAAAAAGTATGGGATTCAGGAGGTTCATGCTCATTGTGCTCTTAAACAAAATTCACGTCCGGTAATGCAACTTAGAGATCTTTGTATTTAGGAATCAGAAATTCTTAGATTTTTGAACCAAGGAAAATTGGTAATTTGTTGACAAGGGAAGGTTATTACTTCATTTCCAGGTACATTCAACTTTTTAAACTTCAAGAGGATTTTTTCCCCTAGTTCTTGGTTTTGTCTTTTACAAATTTTAAGTTTACAGAGCACAGTGGTAAAAACAATATGATATGCAAGAAAGAAGATTTCTCTGCAACCTGTCGTCTGATACTCTGCTAGATAGAGCATGAAAACAAAGTCATTTCAGAAGAAATGTCTGCATAAACAGAGTGATATTCTGGGCTTGCAATAAGATCCACCCCTGCAAAGTTTATGGCTCTTTTAGAATAATATACAGAGATAACTACAGCCAAGGCCTAGATCCCTGTATCCCTAGACCCTCCCATTATTCCAAGAGTGTTTCTGGTGTTCTGCCTTATTTCCAGCTTTGGCAGTGGGACAAGATCACTGTACTGTAATGAAAGTGAACAGTTAGACAGTTGGCAGGGTAAGAGTTTTCCTAGTGGAGTACACAGAGATCAGTCTAAAACATTAGTGGTACCTTTGCTGCTTTAAAACAACCCATCTGCATTACTGCATTTGCTACGTGAAACTTCAAGGATTTTTTCCCTTAAAATTATTTAAAGATGCAAACCTGACAGAATATGTCGAGCAGGGAGCCCAAATAAACCTAGCAAAGTAATACTAATAAATGGCATTGAACAGTCACCTCAATCGAACTGATTTCCTTATAAAACAATGGAAGAATATAACTGTACCTGCTTTCAGCAAAATGGTAAGTGATTTTCTTTACTTTCTTTAAGGGAAAGAAGAAGAAGGAACTATGCTTAGCTTCAGTGATTTGTGATCACTGCACCTCCTCCCACAGAAAAAAGTAAGAGCTGTAAGCACTGGGTGTGACAGGCTGCGCAGGCCTTTGCGCTAGCAGGGATGAGCTCTTTTGTTCAGGCCAAGGGGCAGAAACTGCTGCTTTATCTGACAGAAGCAATTTGCCAGCAGCCCACCCGGCCACATTAAGAGGGCTGCTCAGCCTCTGTCCTCTGCCCATTGCTCTGGTAATGTGATTCAGAAAGAAAACCAAGATGGAGCAAATGCAGTTGAACCTGATGTGTTTTCTGATGCAGGAGAGGAAGGATGCGTCCTGCCTTCCTGAGCTTTGAATTCCAATTCTTCATTGTAATTTGAGCTTCCAAATCCAAGATATTATTATACTGTTTCTTAAACTGTTTCTTAAAATGTAACAGTGGGCACACAAGGTAGCAACACAATTTGTCTTCTCTAAGAAGGCAATGTGGAAACAGCCTGTACTTGTACTACTTCTTTTTTTTCCTCTCTCATTGTTTTCAATGTGTCATTATAACCCTAAAATGTAATAGGCATCACCTAATCTCTGTGTTTAAGAAATTCTACAAAGCAAAGAATAACTTAATTTTCAAGGAGAACTATGAGAGATTATCACTGTGCATTTTATGATCCTTTATCTACAAAAATCACCCCACAGTTGTAAGTGAAATTTGTCCCTTTTTCTTAAAAACAATACAAGCAAAATCCCATTTATGTATTGCCTTACCCTGGAAGTTTAGGATTCCTTAGAATCATGTAATCTCCCAGCTGTCCTTCTGGAAGGGCTACAATGTCAGGATATTTGGCCTGTCAATAAACAGATTCAAAAGGGTATAAATTAGGTCAAAGAAATCATAATAGACACGGTGGCTTCTAGCTAGTAATGTCCCATTGCAAGGGACTTTTAAATACATAAGTTAATAGTGGCAGTGTATTATAGTTAGAAGTAACAATAGTAATTGTAAAAAATTCTGATGTTTGTATTATTTTAAAGTATCATTCATATGATATCAACAGACATTTAATTTGGTAACATCACAATAAAAAACAGGATTGTGCAGGAACAAACAGGTCTGAGAAGTTCTAGTGCAAGACATAGGAAAGTGTGAAATAACATTTTAAATTAAGTTCTGTTAATTTGGTTTAATAACACATTATAATACATCACCATTTCACAAAAAATCCACAAACCAAACCTCTGTGATTTAGTTACCCTTACTGTATGATACTCTCTATTCCTTTTGAGAAACAGGATCGGCAAGCTCAATATAGCGCTTTGAAAGCATAAAGTAATAAAGGCAATGAGATACCAAAATAACCACTTCTCAAAATCTAATGGGACAGCAGAAAACTACAGAACATATAAAACGATTGACTGCTGTTAAACAGCGACTTTACCGGGAATTTGAGCTATTTACAATTACTGCAGTGTGCTGAGATGGATCATTGAGCAGTCATCCCAGTGCTGTTTTGTTACTGCATTTAATACTTTACAGTCTTCAATATGTGTATCTTGAATTACCCCAAACACATAACTTTTGCTAAAACTATTTGAAAGCATGTAAAAAAAAAAAACAACAACCCAAATAGTAGCTATGTGTGCATCTTTCAGATATTGTGCAGTATGTAAGATGACAATTTACTCAAAGAACAAGAGGAGCTCCATATGCCTCAAAATACTGAGAAAAAACACTTATTAATTACTGTATCCTGCAGGGACATGCTGTTAAAAAAAAAAAAAGTTTGTTATGTTGAGGACTTTAACACTCTACTTGCTTGTACTGCCTTATGTACTTGATACTAACCCCTGTTCCAAAAACCGCACTTTATATGAAGTGTGAAAAGACTGTCAGCCTAAGTCATTCTGCAGAGCTCAGAGGGCAAGTGGTATGTCTGACGGAAAAGGAGCAGGAGAGCTCATCTTTGAAAGGCGCTGGAGAAAATGAGTTAGGTTTTATAGGATTACACCTCATCTGGCATACTGAAATTGCTACCAGATGTGAACTTGCTCTGTTGTAGGAATTTATGACAAACTGAGGGGGGGTTGTGCAGAATGCCAAATGACATAAAACACATGGAATTTGCCAATTTAAGTTTTTAGAGTATCTAGAGTACTGTAATTATTATGGGGATAAAGACCACAATGCACCCGGAGAACAAAGATGTATAAAAGGCAACAAAGTGCATAGTAGTTATAGCACAAAAATGACACTGGCCTAATAACACAATGATTTTTTTCAGCTTCATTCCCTGTGGAATTATGCTCCTCTGATGCCAAAAGTTTTCCAGGCTTTCCTTCTCAATACCGAATATCAGAGAGATGGGCTATGTGCCTTTGTTTGTCTGGTATCTCAGAATCTAGGAGTCTCTTTAGTTCCAGGTTGCAAACCCTAAAAATTATGACTACTTGTATCTGCTGAACTCAACTCTTAAGTTCCTCATTGACAGGAGATCTCAAGTGCAGCATAGCTGAGCACTGAGTCACACTTTATCTTCATCCGCCCATACTGAGACCTTTGGGAATCACAACAGAAAATAGAGAAACTAGGTAAGAGTTCCCATTTTCAAAATGCACCCATTACTTGTTTGGAAGTGAGCTCCCGTGCAGCTGCCATGATCGGTGCTTTTTCCTCCAACTAGTGGGTGGTATTTTGTGTGCAGAAACCAGAGGTATCTCAAGGAGATCACAAAATACACAACTGTCCTCCCTTGTACATGGGAGTCATTGTTTTGGTGAGTTTTGCACACAGGAAGCAGTTGTTCTGTGCCTTACTGAACGCAAGAGTTTTGGCAGTCAGTCTGAAGGCTGTGAGAATCTGATCCTGTGTGTCATTCACAGGGTTTGGGATAAAATCCAGCTTCTTAGCAGGAAAGATCCTATCTTAGCAATCCATCAAACACCCAAAAAAGCCAAAACAGAAATACCCACATATCTTTTCAGACACGTTACGTTCTAAAACTGAAGGGTTTGGAGCAGCACGAGGCAGTGCCTCACCCAGAGCTAGACAAGGTTGTGCTCCTCTCCCTGGCCGACTCCTCAGCGTGAGGGTGTGGCAGAAGCAGCAAGGCAAGCTACAGCACCCGAGGGGAAGCGAACAATGTTAAATGCTGACCGTTTGAGAGCCAGGAAACAGTAGCACCCTCTACCTTTCCTTCACTGTGTGTAAAACGTAATGACTATAGCTCAGGTGAAATGTGCATCTGGCACAAGCATGGAAGAGTCAGGCAGAGAGTAGGCAAAAGCTGCTCCAGTCCTTAAATGACCACACTTCAAAGTGCACTCTGTAGGTACTGGGTTTTCCCCTCACATTCTCTTTTGTGTAGCTGCCAGTTTTCTAGGTTTTCCTCTGGGGATAAAGAAAGCCAAGCAATAACTGGAGCAATAGAATGACCTGATCCACTCGTGGGTC